TCACCGTAATAAACAACAAGGTGGTGGGTCTACTGATGAGGGCCAGAAAACACGGCCTGCTCTACTTCGAGGGAGAAATGCTCTTTCAGGTAAGGAGACTTTGCAAACACATTGTGTAGTTTGTAGGTACATCTCAGGCGATAGTCTATCATTGATTTATCGTCAAAACCACATAGACATTTTTTTAGTCATAGAAGACAATAATTGAACACCAGCTATTTCTTTATTTAATGGGAGCTTTCGAAAGCTAGTTTTAGTGTTTTGTACCAAGGCTGACGAAGAAAGCTGCATAGCTTTCGAAAGCTCCCATTAACCCTCGCCGGCCGAGGGGGGGGGGTGCCGCCCCCCCATAGGGTTTTTTCGCGATAGCTCCGAACACGCTAGCGATAAAGAGCTGAAACTTGGCATACCTGACCTTTGATCCAAGCCGGATCTTTTGACACCAACCGCATTTTTGGGTCAGGTCAGGTCACTGACCTATGACGTCATAAGTGAACCTCTGCACGGTCTTCAGATGTCGCAACTTCGCAACGCCCTCACTGCCAGAGGAGATGTCACAGGGAAATGAAACTTGCAGGATCTAGTATCCATTATGAGTCCCACAACTTGTATATCTCGGATTTTTTCTAAAGGTCTTATGAGGTCAGGTCATTTTCGTGACCTCACCATTATAAGTCAATGGGGAAAAATGAAAACTGCTATTCTGGCGCCGGAAACGATCTCCAACTATCTCAAGCACACAGAATCGTGATTTGATGCACTCCTTGCAAGGTTAGATGCGTCACTTTTGCAATGTTGACCTTTCGTGACGTCATTTATGACGTCATCAAGGTCATATTAGTTTTTCGTCAATAACTCTTGATCAAATTGAGCTAGCGAGTCGGGAAAGCCACCAATGGACTCAGGAAGGCCTGCCGAATCGAATGATATGCGACATGACCTCTTTCGACCAACTTCGTGACCTGGGGGTGCTGACCTGACCTTGACCTGAGGTCAACACCCCAAGTTGACCTGACCCGGACAAAAAGTATATCATTCGACGCGCCCGAGCGAGGCGAACACGATGCTGCCAAAATCGGCGCTCTGCGGCCGTTTTTTGCGAAGTTATTCACCAAAAACTGAACCGTACCTTGGGGCACTTGAACTGACCTCAGAGGTCACCGGTTGACCTAGGACCTTAAAATCGGGTACCAATCTCTGCGTCTCGTAACGGCGCACACGCTCGTTTTTCCGCGACGCGCTAGCTCCACCAGGGGCGAAACGGCGAGGGGGGGGGGTCGTACCCGCCCCCCCCCTCGGCCGGCGCGTATGTAGAAAACCAATAGGTCCGGCGAGGGTTAAATAAAGAAAAAGCTTGTGCTCAATTATTGTCTTCCATAACTATGCCACCGTCCCAGCTAAATAACAATATTTACAATTACCTACATAAACATTTATTTATGTGCATCTTGAACGGTCGTCGTCCGTTTATTTCCCTAAGTGAATATTTCAACAGCACTAGTTGCAGTGAGCTTATGTCGCAATGATCGGACCAGATTTTTGCTCAATTTCGTTTCTTATTCTATGCTGCTGTTGCTGAACAGTGCGCTCACTGCCGAATGCTCATCCGCTCCCGATACGTCGCTGGACAGACACAGGCCCAGCACGTGTCGCGGTAACTCGGCAGCGTTCGCCATCGTTTTCAGAGGAGGGACGACGACAAGCCGATCGTGCTGATCCGTCCCATTGACGACATCCGACGGGAGCTCTCCAGTGTCGAGGAGTTCGAGCTGGGCCAGTCGGCGGCGACGGCCCCCAAACAGTGACCTCCCGTGACCTGCCGTGTGACCTCCCGTCCGCTGAGACTGACCCTCGGGCCGCGGGAAGACCCAGCGCGGGACAATCACTCTCAGAAGCTGTGACACTTCTTGCGACGATAGATCTGCTGTTCGTACGGCGTCGTGTTTGTTAGAATAACAGAATAGTGCTTCTCAACTGTTGCAGTATACTGATATGCTGCATGCGTTATTAGTTCCTGGACTGGGCACCAGGGGATAGGTGGGCTGAGCGATAGTACCGCCACCTGGTCATTAGAAGCTGACTGCAACAGTCACCTCGCACCATTCCCTCTTTTCCATCCTCAGGACAGACTAAGCCTTCTCCTCCACGCATCTTTCTCCTGCTCCGGGCTGGACGGGCAACTTTATCCCATGCGGGCGGCTCTCATTGGAGCGCACCGTAGCACCTAACCCGTAGTCGGGTGCAGGGAGTGCTTGAGAGGCGTGAATAGCCGTTTTCACGACGGGCTATCCGGCGAATGCACCTGATTTGACCAAATCTGCAGCTAATTTCTTTTACAGCAAATATCTTCATTTTATGAATTTATTTCAGTGTTTAACTGGATGATGCTCTCTGATAATATGACAAAGCAGGCATGCCTAAGCAGACTTGTGATTCGAGTCAGGGTTACTCCGCTTTGTCGGGTAGCCCCACATGCCTTATAAGGAAGGGAAAGGTCGGGTCACTGGAGATGCGACATTTCCTACGGACGGGACTGAAAGGGTGCGTGTTCCCATATTGGAAATCTAGCATCTCCACACGCCAGCGCTCGGAACGCTCTTGGCATCCTGCCAGGTCACGAGGGGTTGCTCGACAAAGCGGAATAACCCTGACTCGAATCACAACTCTGTGCCTAAGCAATTAGTGCAACCCTAGCTGATAGCTGCTAAGAGACACACTGAACCTGATTTGACCAAATCTGCACCTAATCTGTACCAGATGTGCACCAAATATGTACCAGATGGCCGTCGTGAAAACGGCTAATGGCCTGTCCTAATGGACGGGCTCAACCCCAGCGACTCACTATAGGGTGCCTGTCCAGAACAATGTCTCCCCCTAATTCCTACCATCTTTCCGGCTCCGAAATGGTCTCATTGGACCGAAAGGGCCTAACCCAACAAACCAAAATAAAGCAAGTCACTTCGCGTGTGCAATATGCTTCAGATGCCTGAAAGGTGCCTTAAGAGCTTTGAATGTTTTTGAACTGTCGGCAGGCCTAGCGTTTTTTGTTTTTGTTTTTTTTTTTTTGTTTTTTTTTGTGCACGGTTGCACGTAAGGTGGTTGATCAAAACGGTGCGATCAATGGAATATCATCCCAGATAGAACCAACTAGACTAAATGATGGTTCAAATTGAGCGAATTCTACGTCACACGACAATGAGTATTGCAAAATTGTTACGGGCGGGGGTGACACCGATACGTCAGTTCGGAAATGAATGATGTAAAGCCCCTAAAGACCCTAAAGAACTAGAAGTTGATAACGTGGTTTAATTTCCGGCCGTCCGGCCTCCGACTCGCTTTTTTCTTTGCTTTATACCTATGTACCACATTATTTTTCATCGGTCAACCATAAGAATATAACGCATGCATGAATGCCAAGGCTATGTGAGCTCTCATAGCAAGGTATAGTTAGGTACATGAGTGTATTGGCTACTCAACGTCTTCAGATTTGACACGTGCTATGGCTCTTGGAGAGTTGTTTTACTATATAGTCGTTTGCAACGTGTTTGTATTTTCATATTTATATAACTGGATGTTCAATGCTCATCGCCTTAAGATAATACCGATGTTTTTCGTCTTTCGTTTCGTCAACACTGGTGTAATTGTCGAAGTAACTAGTTGTTGCGTTTTTGTTGTATCTGTTCGTCGGTATTCCATTTAAAAGTTTTGTTGGTCGTCCACTGAGCTGTCTCGGTGTGCCATGTCCGCAGGGCGCAGCTGTTTTGGACACCAATGCGTTCTTCTGGACCTTTCTTTGCGAAACTTTACGGTGGAAATTAAAGCCAAGTTTTATGTGCATTATGAGTGACGCAGTCGTGTAAGAGTTTGGGACATCTAAAATTGGTGTTTTCCTTGGATAACTGCCGAGAATCGTTTTATTGATGGCATATTGAGGCAGCGCAATCAAAACAACCCTGTTATTATAGGCACAGCTAGTTTGCAACTCGTTTTATGCATACCGAGTGTAACTCAAATAAAAAATCACGACATTGAATTTTCCTACATAACAGCGATAATAGCCCATCCAGCACAACAGTATGGCAGCACTTTCTAACAACACGAGCAATAGAATGTTACTGTTAAAAACATCAGTAATGGGACTTTGTCTGCATGTTGTCCACACGAACTTTACCTGTCGTTTGTAAATGCGTGCGTCCCATACTCGTACATTGACACTTTTTTGAAGCATTGTTCGAGTGCCCCCTCTGTTTGGTTTGGAGTGGTTTAATAGTATTGAGAGCTATATTAGGTCAGTTTTTATGTTCATGTTGTCACTTTTATTAAATGCGTGCATTTTCTCTCTCAATGGCTCTCAAGTCTAACCATTCCCAGCATCTTCGACAATCTAAAGCCGTCGATAGCCTGCTTCATTTGTGTGTGCTGCGTCGATAGAATTTCAAGAGAAGGTAATGTCTGGTAAGTTAAAAAAATCATTTTATGGAACGGCAAGTTTAATTCGGCGTTGCGAAGTAATATATAGAAGACTTAGTCAGAAATAGCAGAGGAATTAATATTTCTTGTATTGTTATTTACACGTGGTGAGGATGTGCATAATCTATTAAGATAATCAATACGTTCGACCTTTCTACCGAGTGTTTTCACATTTGTTTAGCAAGCATCGTCATTGCCTACAGTTGGTTGTTATCGCAATTTGCCGTGCAATCAATCATTATCTCACAAACAGTTGTTTGCTTGTTGTATTCCGTCGTTTCTGAGCGTTTATGAAAGTTTGCTTTGCATACAAACAAACTTTAAATCGGAGGATTAAATATTTAGAAACACGTTTTAATAATACCTGCCATCATAAATCAAATACGTTTACATGATGTAACGCTAAAAAAGAATTTGAAAAATTATGGGTTTTGAATGTAAAATTTTAGAGCTTCACTGATAAATTCAAAAGTAAACAGATTATCTCACGATTCCGTCGAAGTGCTAAATCAAACACACTACTTTGCCAGACGAGACAGCCACCTGCCTCGCCCGGGACTGGTGTGCCGCGCTGCGCCGGCCGCGGGGCCGATGGGCCAGGCGGCGCTGTGCTGCGCGGCGCCGCGTCCGCCGCCGCCCGTGGTGGCTGACGTGGAGGGCAGCTGGCCGTACGTCACCGTCAGCCAGAGGATGGTCTCAATCCTGCGCTCCGTGGTCGACACCGTGTCCCGGGACGCGCCGGCGCTGACCGAGGAGGCGCAGCCCGGCGGCCAGGAGGGCGTCCAGCAGGCGCTCCGGCAGCTGGAGCAGCTGCTGCAGTCGCTGACCGCCGACGGGCCGCTGACCCCGCTCACCGGGTCCGCCGACGACGTCACCATGTGGAACGAGGTGCTGAAGGCGGTGACGGCGGCGTCAAAGGACGGGAGAGCGCCCCACTGGCACTCCGGGGAGTGGCTCTACGTCGAGTGCTACATGTACAGGAAGATCTGCGACATACTGGAAACTAATGGGGTGTCGAAGAAGTATGACTTCTTCCACGCCCAGAAGGCGGAGAGCTTCGAGAGCTCCATAAAGGCCGCCTACGACCTGAGTGTGTGGACGCTGGGAGACGTGTTCTCTGGCACCAAACTATCGCCGACTCGGGTGCAGGAGGCCTTCCAGAACCTGATGCTGGTCTGTCTGTGGGGGAACAAGAACGACCTGTCGCTCTCCGGCGGGCGGCAGGTGTCTCAGGACGAGTCGCCACTGTCGCAGCTGCCCATCCTCGCTCAGTTCCTGCTCGTGGACGACCACCAGCGGGTGCTCTCCTATCTGAGCGACCTCCGCAAGCAGCAGCGAGACATCCGCGTCGACTTCGTGTGTGACAACGCCTCCTTCGAGCTGTTCTCGGACCTGTGCCTCGCCGACTTTCTGTGCGCCTACCTACTGGCGAACCGCGTCACCTTCCACGTCAAGGCGCTGCCGTGGTTCGTCTCAGACACCACGCGCCCGGACGTGGCCTGGCTGCTGAAGCGGATGCAGCGCGACCGTCAGGGGCCCGCGCTCCCGGCGCTCGCCGCGCGCTGGAAGCAGCGCTTCGACGCCGGCCAGTGGAGCCTTGCCTCGGACCCGTTCTGGACGTCACCGTTCCCGTTCCGTCGGATGCGCCAGGAGGCTGCGTCACTCTACCGGCAGCTGGAGAACGCCGACCTGGTCATCGTCAAGGGCGACCTCAACTACCGGAAGCTGGTGGGCGACCGCCGCTGGCCGCTGCAGACGCCGCTCTGCCGCGCCATGGAGGGGTTCCACCCGGCGCCCGTGGCGGCCCTGCGGGTGCTGAAGGCCGACCTGGCCGCCGGCCTGCCGCGCGCCGCGGTGCGCCGCGCCCAGCAGATGGACCCTGACTGGATGACGGGTGGCAGGTTCGCCGTCATCCAGTTCTGCACGCAGGTGCCGCCGCTGGACTGAGACGCGCCGCTAGTCAGGGTACCGCCAGTGGACCCTGCACTTAAGTGAAGCTAACGGGTGCAGATGCTGAGCTCAAATTCATGTTTCAGATGGTGAATGCTTCTGCTGGACTGAAGTCCAAATAGTGGGTGTATCCGCCGGACTAAAGCTGAGCTTGGAGCTATCTCCTCCGACCTCCGCGCTGGACTGATCACTGAAGTCAGAATAGCGAGTGTTTGTTCTGGACTGGAATTCGGCTTGGGTGCGTGTCCCCGATGGACGGAACTCCAAATAGCGAGTGTCTCCGCTAGGCCGAACTCCAAACAGCAAGTGTCTCCGCTAGGCAAGTCCAAATAGTTCGTGTCTATGCTGGACCGAAGCTCAGTTTGGGGCATCCCCTCTGGGCTGAAGTCCAAATAGCGAATCAGTTTCTGGACGTACGTCCATGGACGAGCAGCATGCATGCAACTCGTAGCGAGTGTCTCTGCTGTAGGTACTGAAGTTCAGATAGCGAGTGTATCGAATCTCTGATGGATTGCATGGAGATGCTGCATAGATTCAGTGCACAGATTGGTCGTCTGTAGCCCAGTGCTGCTGCTGCGTCGATCAGGGAGGTTTGCCTGTATGACCACTGACCAGGTAATTGGCTGCGTCTCCACTGGCAGCCAGCATAACAATCGTTGCTTTGTCATAAAGCGGGTTATATAAGTTGTGTACGATATGACTACTAACATATCTGTATGTATTCTTTTTAAGCTAGGTAGGTGCCAATGTCTATAACTGCCAATATCTGTTGTGGCATTTTGTTAGCAGTATGTAACTGATTTGCAACAACATTTTTCCTCGTCTCTTCGCTTACTATGCTGTATAAATTTGGCCGTCCGGTTGTTGGTAAATTTATCGTTAAGTTTGCCATCCTGAGTGCGTACTTCGAAATAAAGTGTCATCTAACGAGGTATCTGCGCCAAACCAATGCTTTCTATGTCCCGTAAAATGTTTACGCCACAAACAAAGTACAGACACCTTGAGAATAGCGAAATTTGATGTGAGCTTTCACCTTGTGCCTTTCTCGTCTGAATGATATGATCATTATTGCCAATGTAACTCGAGAATCACACGATAAAAATATACGAACATTCAAATACTACATGCTGTTTTTAGATTAGCAACTTTTATGCTATCATCACCTCAGCATGCATATAGAAATATTTGCTGATAAAAAGAAAAACTCCTATCGACCTTTTGATGACGACACATGACTTCCAGGGCTGTGACAAAGTTTAGCACTCTACCGTTTATTTCAGGCAAGTTAACATCTGTATTTATTTACTGCAACTTAATTAGCATATTAACATATGTTGTGCACGGGAACATGTTTTACTATGTCGAGGTTAACATTTTGTTTTGCAGTTACAAGCGAACTCCTTGAATCCTTCCGGTTTTTCATGTCGAGCGTAAACTAGGCACAGGAACGACTGATCAAATGATAGCCCGCGCCCCGTAAAGAGCTCATCAAGATGCACAAGATAGGATATCGATGACCTTGATATTTGACCTGTGACGTCACAACAGAGGTCAGCCTCCACCAATCAGGAAACACTTTCGTGAATCGTAAGAAAAGGCATGTTAAAGGGACTGTCCCACCTTTGCATTAGTTCTGAGTTGAGATAGCCAAGTTGGCGGCCAGGTTCAGAAACCACTATATATCCTGGTCGCAATATCCTCAGTTTCGTGGTGTTAAAGAAATTCGTTCCCTTCATTTGAAAAGTGGGCCTTAGCTAAGGCCCTATCTCTTAACTATTAACGGCCATTTGATGACGTCATTTGCATTTTGAACGCCTGTCACGCATGTGAAGTTTCACTTGATTTACGAATAAGCTAATCAGAGACACTTGTTATTGTATGAGCCGCGTCATATTTGAGAGCAAATACCTATATTTGCTGCCAAATTTCCCCCACATTGACATGAAGTAAATCCTTCATTACGTCACAGATCCGATCTAAATGACGTCACGATGAAATATAAAAATCGCAATATCTCAAAAAGTATACAATGAAAACGCGTTAAAACTTGCAGAATTCGTCACAATATCATGAGTAACATTTCCGAATCCTAAATGGTACTTTTTTGAAGGTGGGATAGTCCCTTTAAATTGTAAATATTCGAGTTTTTATGAAGATATTTCATTTGTATGCAACCACAGAAATTTTCTTGGTCATTTTTCTTGGACCTATGACGCCACGGGAAGGTCAACTAAGGTCAAATTGTACCGGTTTACAACGAAAAACATTTTTTTACGTATCAGTGACTTTAGTCTTTACTTACCTAAAGGATCATATTCAGTCCGGGAAGATGTTGTAAGTATCATAAATATTACTCCTGACTGATTTCAAGCACAAATACCAAAAATATTGTAACGTCATAAAACAGTCGTTACTCTTCCAGACATTCAAATGGCTATATCTCTAGCAGTTTTAGAGATATTTTGTTAATTTTTGGCATGTGTAAGGAAAGGGGTTCTCTGACATATATTCCGTTTCTTTTAATTTCCCCAAATTAAAAAAAATATCAAGAAAGCTAAATTTTGAGTTTGAAAATCACAAGATCTAGGGATTTCTAGATTTTAGAAATTTCGAGAAGGCCATTTTGTTTGCCATGCATTTTTATACCTAAGGTCCAATTTTTGAATCGCTAGGATGAAACTCTGATTTTCTGCGATTTTTCTCCGTGAACAGCTACTTCAACGAAAAATCACCGAACATGACCTCCGTTTGACCTCTATAGCTCGTGACCTAAGATGACCTGGGAGCTATTTTTTTCAGCAGTTGCGTAAAATTGATGTCCGGAGAGGAACTGGAAGCTTCATGTCGAAATTCGCAGCCGTTTCTGAGTTATCTGCGAACAACCACAGGGTGGGGGCTCTTTGGCCCCCTCCCCCCTCCACGGGTCGCGGGATAGGCGTAGAAAGAATCGCCCCTCTCCATCCTTTCTTCTCTCTTTCCGCTACTCCCGTGCTCCCGTATACGCCCTTACTGTCCTCCCTCATTCTCCCCCCCCCTCTCTCTCTCTCTCTCTCTCTCTCTCTCTCCGCTGCTCTCGTGATCCGGTGCCTCCCCCACTGCCAGGTCGCCTCCCACGCCAGGCCTGCCTCTGACCGTTCATCACACCTCCATTGGAGCTCTCATCAAGGCCGAATACCGCTCACCGCTAGAATAACAGATCATTCAGGCTCGCCAATGACCCCGTGTAACACGGGGACGTGTTCGCAATTTTTCGCCACCCGTATACGTTTGAGTCTGTTACAGCCATTGTTGGCTCGTGGTGACAGCTGACAGCATATTGACAGACGGCGTCCCAACACTTCCGTCAGCCTTGGCATTATTTACCGGTCGCCGGTTTGGCAGTCGACGGACGGCTCGGTCAGAGTCTGTCGACGTGGGCAGATGCGGACGGTGTAGGCGGCGACGGAGAGGAACGATCCTGAGGCCGGGCCGGGTCGGACCAGCTCTCGGCTCAGTCGGCAGAACAGGGCCAGACGAGGCGGGCGGCCGCGCCGCTGTCTGTCGGCCTTATCGGTACTGCGATCCGGTGATCCGTGCCTCCATTGCTATAATTGGGGCTGCGGCTGAGTGGTGGTGGCCCAGCGGGCGGTAGAGGCACACGGTAACAGTGAAGACTCGGGGAGTGACGGCCGCGACTCAGTGAGTGTGATCTACGAGGGGCTGCCGGCCGACCGGTCTCTCGGGGCCTTGTCACCCCGTCACGAGGGTCAGGAGAGCGGACCGGCCCCCAGCTCAGCGATCTGAGCCGGCCCCGCCCCTAACACCGCACAGCCGGCGAGACGCGCCCCTATCGCGGGTACCACTGCGCCCGATTCCTGGAAAGCGGCCACGAGCCGGCCAAATACAGAGCTGGGCGAACATGTGGGCCGACCTGGGGCCGAGCGCCTGGACCGGTTAGGGCCGGTCGCCTACAGCCGCGGCCGCCGCCGCCCCCAGACGCTGCAACACCTGTCAAGAGTGCAGACGTGCCGCGCCGTGCTGGTGCCAGGAGCTGTGCCGTGAGACAGTGTGACGTGACGGTGGTGTCAGAACGGTGCCGCGAGTGTGAGGTGTCACTGCGATGTCCGTGCGCGTGGGGCGTGCGCCCGGCGGCCACCTCGGCCCAGCACCGGGCCGAGCAGAAGCCGCACCGAGAAAACGTTCCACGGACGCGGCCGGTCAGCCACGGCGCCGGTCATCCGCGGGTTATCACGAGCACGAGGTAACCTGTCCGATGCATACCGACGAGAGAGGATCAGCGGCCGCCAGACCCAGCGCCGCCAGAGGCCGGATAAAGTCCACTGGGTCACCGGGGCCCCGCACTGGAGCGGCAGCCCGCCGAGCCGCCCCCGCCTCAGGTACGGCGCCTGCTTCAAAGGGAGCCCCCGCAAAGCCGGCGCACCAAAGAGGCAGAGAGGCCCCGAGGCGACCCAGTTCAGTGGATAATCGGCCCGAGTGGAACTCGTCCCCACCAGAGGTACCGCGCCGGACATCGTCTGGAAATCCAAACAGGCCGGTAAAGGCAGATAAGTCACCGGCTCGGCGAAATTCTCCTGCCAAACAGGCTGCTGGCACCAAACCAGCGGCGCCTAAAAGGACCGGCATTCCAAAGCGTAAGAGTGTGGGATCTTCAATCTCAGATAACAAGCCAAATAAAGCTAAGAATGCAGGAGGCACCAGAGATGTTTCAAATAACAGTAGATCAGGGAAAGCGCTGCCCTCCTCAGCCAAACGTGAATACAGAGCTGTGCCGAACGGAACAAACGATCGGAAAGATCGACTTTCGGTTCCGAACGATCGTCCGAGATCAGGCTCAATTACCGGCGCCGGGAAAAGTGAGCTGGGAAAGTTTCTCGAGAAGCTGCACCTGGAAGAAATGTATGGCAGTTCGGACGACGAGCCCGACCGTGCCAAGTCGCGACTGTCTATCGAGTCTGTCGATACATGGCGCACGGGGGACGGGGACGAGGAGACTATGAACACACTGAGAACAAAGCGCAGGGAGAAGGAGCCCTCCATATCTCCCAGCTGGAAGTTCGCTGATGTCGTCATACCGAAAAACACCGAGGATAGAAACGTGACGAAACCAAAGCAGAAGAACCGGTTTTCATTTCTGGTTGACTCAACGGATGAGGATGAACCACATACAAAGCCTGTAAATGGGACAGACATGAACAACGGCCTCTCTCGCTTCGACGGCTTTGTCAGGGAGTCTCTGTCTCCAGAAAGAAGTAAGCCCAGCATGCCTGTCTCGAGGAAAAAGTCGGAGCCGGTTTCTGAGAGGATCGCTCGACCGTCGACGGCGGCGCAAAGTGGATCGGCTCGGCGCGAACAGGCCCGGTCTCGATCTCGATCACAGGACCGGGACCTTAGGAAGGGGTCAGCGAAGGATGACGGGTCGCGCAGGGCCAGCTACCTGGATGACCTCATACAGCCCAGTGCACCGAGAGCGATAGTCCCATCAGCACCGCAACCCAGAGAGAAGCGCTCAGCAGCACCACAGATGGACCAGCATGCTCGTCCCAAAGCGACCAAGCCTACTGTTGCACCTAAACCCAACAGCAAGGCAGCTAAGGAATCGGAAAGGGTACCGGAAAACAGCCGATATTCCCACTCTCGCACTCCCTCTCCCGAAAAGAGCCCTGAGATCAGGAAGCAAAGCCTCACAAGAAGTAAAGAGACGCCCCCGAGGCGTGCTTCGACTCACATTCCAGGCAACTATTCCACAAATCAGCAGGATGTCAAGAGGGCGCATCAGCGCAGATCCCGAAGTCCTTCGCCGAACACTGCCGACATCCTGGAAAGATACCATGATGCCTATCCGGACGACGCAGCGGCAATGCCCTCACCCTTTGCGGAAGACTGGTCAAGTCGCAGAAGTTCGAGGTATTCTCGCGATAAAACTTCTCCGCTGTCTGGGGACCTACAAAGTCCCAAAATCTCCAGCCAGAACGGAAGAGTGGGCTCGCTGTCGGAGGCCCCCAAAGGGGACTACTATAGTCCCACGACGGCAGTGCAGCTGCGCGAGCGGCGCGCGGACGAGCCGCCCGATGACAGGAGGGTGAAGAGGAAGAGCCTCTCTCTGGCCGGAATGTCCAACCCCGAGCGGATCTCCACTGACGACGACGGGGACCGATTGAGGTGAGATGGATCACCTCTGATTGTCCTGCTCGGTCTATAATCTCGCTTTCAGATAAATTCATCCATTCTTGGCTGTGTTGTCAACAGCACTTCATTTTCTGAGATTTTGAGTTGGTGCGAAATGGTGTCACAAGGCATTGTAGTGTAGCATTTATGCAATAGTTACATCAAGGAAATAACAGAAGACATTTGTCGAATAGCATATGAATGCATTTTCTGCTAAAACTTAGTAGCTTTAACAAATCTTATGCCTTACTTGTAGCGGGTATGCCACCTTTTAGATATCGCATCGGTATATTACGAGATGCAGTTCGATACCTAAGTGCAATTCTTACCTGCTAAGTGCTAACCAAGGCATGCCATTTGTTTTCGCAGGCGTCTGATTATGTCGACTGAAGCTTTGGAGCGAAGATTCTTTACACCATAAACCCGTGGCGAATGCTGAAATATTGTGCAACGTTTGAAACTGTAAGTTATCTGGTTGTTTTGTCGTCGGCGATATCCTTACTTTTAAGTTGCCGTGATTTATTTATTTCTTCGGTACCTTTATGCTGCTATTTTGTATCACATGCGCTTACATTACACGAGTTGGTTGCAAGCACCGTGATTTATAGTCACGTGATGGTGACACTGATGGTCTCTCTCTCTCTCTCTCTCTCTCTCTCTCTCTCTCTCTCTCTCTCTCTCTCTCTCTCTCTCTTCCTCTCCCATGTGAGGACAGGTCACAGGTGCGCCCAAGGTCAGCCAGGCCCGCTCCGTTCGACTCCAACAGTCTCCTGTGGTGGACGGCCTCACGCCAGCCGTATCAGCACCGTACGAACAGGGCCGCCCTGCCCCGGCGGCCGAGCTAGCCGTCAGGGCGGGGGCGGCGGCGGGGGCGGCGGCGGGGGTGGCAGGAGCTGTCTGGTGGGCGGACCGGACCCCGAGCGAGCCGCGCCGGCCACTGACGTTAGCCCGGACGCGAGGTGCACGCGACGTGCACGCGACGCCCCTCCGTGACAGGTGCACGGGGCAGTGCAGGCCGCTCGTGCAGCCTTGGTGAATGCTGGGATTGGAGGGGCTTTCCGAAATGAACTACAGAGAATTAGGTGAACGAACAATACTTATTAACTTGTTTGTGTGTGATAACATCGTATAACATACATCTAGTGTAACGTTGTGATGAGGAAATCACAGAGTTCTTGCGCAAACTCGCCAAATGCAATGCTTGCAGCGCAGCTGCATTGTCACTTCTGCATTATGATGCTTACAAGATATGTGTAGGAGGTCAAATGTCCTAATAATTATACAGATATAAATGTTTTCATGTTGAAATGACTGTGATGAGCAAATTGTGGTAATAATACCTATTGGATTAACCCGCGCCCGGCTGGGGGTCCTGGATTTCCACGCCCTGCTGGGGGGGTGTTTGAACACCCCCCTTCTAACTCGGCTCCTGGGCCACGTAGCGATACGCGGAAGGCGGCGTTCGAAAGAGCGTCAAAAATAATGAGGAAATCACTTCGGTCAATTTTTTGGTCAGGTCAAAGGTCAGGTCACCAGAGGTCATTGAAGGCAAATTTTCGCCGATTTCCAGGTCGAATGTCGACAATTTCCAAGAAGCCAACGCATAACTCGGGAACCAATAGAGCTACAGCGCCGCGGAAAAGCGCATTCGATAGCCCTATTAACGCCCTTTCTGAGTAGTTTTCTCAGATTTGACCTAACGTCAACGGTTTTGCCTGCAGGGGGCAAAAACTGCAAAAATAGCCGATTTTTTCGGAAACAGTTTTTCTGCAATAACTTTTGACCCAAGCATTGTACGAGCTTACTTTTACCGGCATCGTGTTCCTCTTGTCAAGACGCATCGAACGAACTATAATTTGACCTTGAAAGGTCAACTTGAAAATTTGACCTCAGGTCAAGGTCATGACCTGACCGGAAAGGGTCATGTTGCATATCAGTCGATCCGTATCGTCGAGCTGAACACATCTAAGGCGTTTTCATCGCTCTAGCATGCCTCTATCAAAAGTTATTTGCGAAAAACTGTTAGATACCATTCGTGACCTAAGATGACCTCAGGGCATAAACAGGGGTCACAGACACCATTTTCATGTTCAGTGTGTCTAAACCACTTGTAATTCAGTGTTTGGGAGTGTTTATAATGTCTTTCGTCCAAAACAGGCGCATTTCAATTTTCTCCCATTGACTTATAATGGTGAGGTCGCAAAATTGACCTGACCTTAGGTCATCGATATCAAAATTCTGAGATATACATTTTGTACATGCTAATGCTCTTAGCAATCGCTGAAAGTTTCAAAGCGATCGGTCACTCGGTGTAGCTATGACAGACATTGAAACTTTTTATGAGGTGAGGTCACTTCGAGTGACCTCGTGACCTGACCTTGAATGACCTTGGTCTGAAATTTTCACAACATGTGTAGAATTGATGTATGATAAGGTGTACCAAAAACGGCGGCGCTCCGCGCCGCCGTTTTTGAGATATTCGCGAAAAACCACAGGGGGGGGGGGGGTGTTCAAACACCCCCCCCCAGCAGGGCGCGGGTTAAGAGTACGTGATGCATTTATATATGCAATGCCATGAGTTTTTCATATTGAATTAATTACGCTGTACGCCAAGAGAATTGCCGTGGTTTATCGGTTATCTCGGTCTATGCCTACAGCGATGTTGGATAGATAATCAGCATTGAATTGGTGCTTACTGATTTCTGAATAATAAAGTGGGATTAACTGGCGTGGGCGAACATCGAGCGTTAACCCGCGCCTCGTTGGGATATCAGCGGACATAGGCGGCTGAACGGGGGTGGCACCGGGGCACCGTGCCCCCTTTTGATTTTGGCATTTTAACATTAGCCCTATGGGCGTTGCATGGGAAGAATGGGACCAAAAGTCGGCAGTGCCCCCCCCCCCTTAATTGAAGGTGTTCCGCTGCTGCTGTTAGCGGAGTGTGGGATGACCACTTAATCGTGCACCTTTTTATCTCGCACATTTTTCTCTATCTTCAAAACCGCAGGCGTGTTACGTTTTTTTCCAACCCGACCAGAGGAGAGGCGCTACCCGGAGAATACCCCATTGCGTCACTGGAAACTGGCTTACACCGCGGCACCTGACAGCTGGCCGGCTGGCTGTGGATAGGCCGTGTCCGCCCTGAGTATCCTGGGTCGAGGGTTCGCGGTCAGCCACCCCAAAAAATTTGGCCGTGGTAGGTTTTCAGGTTGTAGGTTTGTAGGTAGGTTGTACTTCTGTAGGTTGAAGGATTGTAGGTTGTAGGCTTGTAGGTTGTAGGTTGTAGGCTTGTAGGTTTTAGGTTTTTAGGTTGTAGGTTTATAGTTTTGTAGGTTGTAGCGTTGTAGGTTGCAGGTTGTAGGTTAGGTCTGGTTAGGTTAGGTTAGTTTTTTTTTGTTTGGTTACAAAAAAGTGTGTTCGTGTAAAATGCCTCTCCTTGGTTGGAAAAACGAAAAGCGCGTGCGTGACCAGTAGCGGCGGAACACCTTCAATTGAGGGGGGGGGGGGGGACTGCCGACTTTTGGTCCCATTCTTTCCATGCAACGCTTATAGGGCTAATGTTAAAATGCCAAAATCAAAGGGGGCACGGTGCCCCGGTGCCCTCCCCGTTCCGCCGCCTATGTGCGTGACAGCTCTTCCCGCATAATCAATGTTTCGAAAATGGTAGAACGTAACGTCACTATTACGTCATTTGTGGCCAACCTATCATAGCCTCTGGAAAAACTTGTAGTCACAAGGTGTACAATTGATCACCGGAGGGGTCCTGAAAGTTTGGTGACGATATCTGCTGTACTTTAGAAGAAATCGACTGAAAAGGAGAGAGGGGGTTGTCTCATCCCCTCCCCCAACGGGCCGCGGGTTAAACAATGACTTACTGTTATTTCTGAACGCCCACAACTGACTCATTTTCAGATAAAGCTTACACCAATTTCCCTTACACAATATACAGGCATGGGCACAACGCGCAACACATGTAATTAAAACTTTAATACGGATTTTACAGTTAATGTAAAGTGATCGAAAGTATTAGATTAGCCAACCGGATATAAGGTGACAGCGCGGTGCGCACGTCGCTCTGCGGCGAGCCAGTCACCTTCACCCCACTGACAGCTCCAATGTGACGGCTCGGCTGTGCTCTGCGACGGTCCTGCCGGGAACGTGACAGCTCCCACTCCAACTGCATAAAAAGCTGACATTTGGAGACCATCACGCATCACTCGATATCACGACCACGCCGTGCAGACAGCGGCCATGCGCGCCCTGCCCGCCCTCGCTCTGCTGCTGGCCGCCTGGCTGGCCGTGGCTTCGGCTCTCAGCTGTCTGCCCTGCACCAAGGACCGCCACGTGAAGTGTCTGCTGGACAACCCCAGCGAGTGCTCGTGCTTCCCGTGGGGCCGTAAGCCAGGCGTGTGCGGCTGCGGCTGCATGGTCTGCGCCCGCGGCCTGGGGCAGAGCTGCGGCGGCCCGTGGAACCTATCCGGACAGTGCGGCGACGGCATGGTGTGCGACAAGAGACCGCCGCTGGCCGGCAAGTGCGTGAAGGCCTGCTCAGATCCAGTCATCAAGTATTTCCCGATTAAGAAACTGCCGAAAGCTGTTGCCGAGCCAGAAGTTTTGAAGCGCACAGAAAATGCTTGATCTTGGTGCTCGATCATAGACCAACGATCATAAATGAAAGTTCTGACGAAACGACCATCTGCGGCAACTGACATGTGGCAACTGATGCAGTAACAATTAATCAGAAAACTTGCATTGTATTCCCGTCATTCTGACATTGTTTAATATCATTCGTGCAATGTGCTTGATTGGAGCGAGCGAAAACACATCAACAAATATATTTTTGCCAACCAAATAAAGCATTTCAGTTGTAGGAGGGAGGTTAAATATGCTATCAACCATGACAAATTGTGCCTATCTCCTAGGAAGCAGATGAATTTTATTTTTGCGTTAAATTGTAAGCTTCAGCCTTCAGGCCTCAGGGGCCGTATTCACGTCGACTTCGTAAGTCGATTTTTTTCGTAAGTATAATTTGGTATTCACATCGACACTTCGTAAGCTTTTATCTACGGAGCTCACGTGATTAAAAAAAAAAACTGCGTAATACCGGGCTCACACCTGACACCGGATTCCGGGCCGGCAAGATTCCGTCTACCGGGCCGGAAAAATGGCCAATTCAGTGCCAAAAAATTGAAAACTGGTGTGAACCGGCAAATCTGGCAACTTCTTTTGACCGGTCCGGCAGGCCGGTGAGCCAGATTTTCCGGTCCGGCAAGAAGTTGAAATCATCTCAACTTCTGCCTTGCTGGATAGCCACCGTTTGCAATATGAAATTAACCCGCGCCCCACTGGGGTCTGTGTATGACACGCCCCACTGGGGGAGGGGGGCTATTCATAGCCCCCCTCCTAACTCCGAAACTACTGGGCCGATCGTCAAAATTCGAACGGCATCTGATAGCTCCGGAAAAACTGTTGAGCGGAACCTAATTTCATTGACCTCGAGGTCATCGATGACGTCACAGGTCAGGTCAAAGTAAAAATTATCGAGATTTGGCTTGTTCACTTTTTGGGCTCTGGCTGCCGTCTTACAAGTCAGATCAGGCTGATTTTTGGTTTACACACTCGTGAACAGATGCTTTAGATACTCTGAGGGTACCCAACTTGTATTTTGATTTTCAGGTCAGGGTCAGGTCATCATAGGTCACGGAAATCTTATGTCATAAGTCGGTCACGTGACACATGTTTTATGGTCCGTTTAGGCCATAGATTTCGAATTCGGTGTCGCCTGTGTCATTTTAGGTCATTTTCATCTGAATATAGCTGAGGTCAAGTCACTTTCTGGTCAAAAAAGGTCAAATTTTAAAGTTAAATTGTTCAACAAAAAATATATCTATCGGATGCAGTTTGAGCTCAGGAACACGATGGTGTTATTTATATTGGTGTACGATGTCAAATGCGTACAGAAAAATTGATTTGAAAAAATTAAAAGCCATTTTTGAAGATATCTGGCTTAAACTTGCTAGAGTCAGTCATAAGCATGTGTTCTATCATATATTTACCGTTTTTTTTTCGAAAAGTCAAAAAGTTAAAAAAAATACAAATTTTGATTTTGATATATAATTTTCAAAATTTTCTAAATTTAGAAAATTAGAGATACCAGTTTGATAGCGCAGTCCATTCTGAGTCCTCTCATGCAAAGAAATTGGATCTACACCTTTTTTCGTCCGAATTCACAAAGATGAAGTCCAAATTCACAAAGCTGAATTCCAAATTCACAAAGCTGAAGTCCAAATTCACAAACCTAAATTACGAATTCAAAAGTCGAAAGTCCAAATTCACAAACAAAAAGTTGGAATTCAAAAAGATAAGATCGAATTTCAAAAAGCAAAAATGTGATTTCAAATAAGTAACAAGCAATTTCACAAAACAAAAATGCAATTTCAAAAAGATAATGTTTGATTTCAAAAGATATTCTGAACTAACTACAGACAAAGCTGCTGCACCTGAATTTTATATTTTTATAAGAGGTGCTTATAAGAAAAGGTACATAAATTTCCGCATGAGGAATACATCTGCTAATATTATGTAATATTCCTATTTGGAGGAACTCATTTAACAAAAATAGCACATGGAACACGTGATTTTTTACAACAATTGTTTATGAATCCACATGAATCATTCTAAACGTTGAACTCACAGATGCTTACCTCATTTGCTCTGTTAACGTCAATAACTTGCTGTGATGTATTTTATTGTAGCCAGGTATGTCTCAGTCCTCAACGGAGGTTGACCATTTTTTTAACCATGATGGGGATATGCAAGTTGAGGTAGAATTGACAGAGGTTGAAAATCCAGTTCCTGACGGAGCTCCTGACGAAGCTGGACCTGCCGGTGGCGGTGACGGCCCACCACAGCCGCGAGGCAGGCGCGGCCCTCCGCCGGGCACCAGGCGTGGGCCGTACAAGCGGATCCCCCGGGATGCCCAAGAGCGGGTCGTGGCCGTGTTCAATGAAGGTGGAGACTGGAAGGCGGCTGCGACAGCGAATGGAATTCCGGTCCGCACTGCCTACGGGTACATTACGAGGCCCGAAGGACAGCTGCCGCGTCCCCGTGGCGGTGCCACAAAGAAGAAAGTTACCCAGGGGATGGTCGACAAGATGGTCACTTACGTCGAGGAGAATCCATTGATATCTCTCGTGGAGATCGGTCGCAATTTGCGCCAGGACACCGGTGTCACCATATCCGTCCCGACCATCCACCGCCACCTGCACGGCCAGCTGTTTACTATGAAGAAGGTCGTGGCCGAGCCAGTGGCCATGAACAACGCCGCAAATAAGCAGAAGAGGGCCGAGTACGTGCGAAAGGTGATGGCGGCGACGGGGAGTGGGAGATCGGTGCTCTACATGGATGAAACGAACGCGAACCTGTTTTTGCGGCGTTCTCAGGGCCGATCCCGCCGCGGCCTGCGATGTTCGGTGAAGGCCGCCACCAGTAAGGGCCCCAACGTCCATATCATCGGGCTGATGTCGCAGACCGGCATCATCTACTGGGAGCGCCGACGAGGGTCCTTTCGGAAGACGGACTGCTCTGACTGGCTGCGACGTGCCCTGCAGGCCTGCCCTCTGCCGCTCGACCAGGTGACGATCGTCTGTGACAACGCGCCGGTACACTGTGACCTGGAGGCAGTTGCAGCCGAGTTCCCTGGTCTGGAGCTGGTACGGACAGCGCCATACAGCGCGCCGTTGAACCCGATTGAGGCTGTCTGGTCTGCAGTGAAGGCGAACATGAAGCGGGGCATGGCGTCATCATTCAGCGCCATGATGGACACGACTGACGGCATCACCCAGCAGGAGCACCGGCTCCGCTACCTGGAGGCCAAGATGGACGCCGCCATGGAGTGCATCAACCCGGTGATGTGCATGAACTTCTACAATCACGTCCAGCGCCACTATGCCGGGTGCGTGGCCCTGGCCGACCTGGCGATGGGCGTGTGAGAGTGATGGAGGTTCAAGATATGTTTCTGATTTGTAGTGGCTTAGTTCCAAACGTGCCCTACGGCGTTGTCAGACAAGCAGCTTTGCGTTGTTTTTGTCTAAGTCGCAAATAAAACTGTCCGTCCGTTGCCTTGCATTTATTTCAACGAGATCAGTGCCTGCAGATGGCCACTCTGCTCATTATCACGTTATTAGGTATCCACTATAAGCTAAAACCGACAAATTCTGAAGATATAGGAACATTATTTTTACATCCGAAAAAAACAAAATATTTTGTCATTTTAAATTGTAGGTATATGTTAAAAGAGCTAGGTAACATCATCAGAAAACAACAAGAAACAACGTTTGAAATCCAGCATTATCTTTTTGAAATTGCATTTTTGGTTTGTGAAATTGCTTGTTACTTATTTGAAATCACATTTTTGCTTTTTGAAATTCGATCTTATCTTTTTGAATTCCAACTTTTTGTTTGTGAATTTGGACTTTTGACTTTTGAATTCGTAATTTAGGTTTGTGAATTTGGAATTCAGCTTGGTATATTTGGAATTCAGCTTTGTGAATTTGGACTTCATCTTTGTGAATTCGGACGAAAAAAGGTGTAGCTCAAAAACTGAGCTCTTGGGAGCGATCCCCGTAGTTCAATGTTTTGCGTCGAAATCGGCCGAACATGACGTCACTCTGACGTCATTTCCGGCCGATCTATGATAGAAACGAAGTTCAACCTTTGACACAAGATGTCAAATTGGTGCAGCCGAAGGTAGGTACTGAAAGTTCGGCGGCGATGCGTCAAGCGGTTTAGAAGTTATTGCAGAAAAACGGGAGGGGGGCTATGAATAGCCCCCCCCCCCCAGTGGGGCGCGGGTTAAAACATTTTTCGATGTTGTGAGTGCCCAAACCGGTATTTGCAGGCCATGGCCAGCAATTTGGCTATCTCAACTCAAAACTAATGTTAAAGGGACTATCCCACCTTTAACATGGGGTTTGAGTTGAGATAGCCAAGTTTGCGGCGAGGTTCAGAAACCACTATCTATCTAGGTTGCAACCCCCGCGGCCTCTTGGTGTTGAAGAAATTCGTTCCCTTCATTTGAAAATGGGCCTTGCGCAAGGCCCTATCTTCAACATGGAGCGACCGTTAGTGTGACGTCACCTCGTTTAGTCATTCTGATTTAAATGGGTTTGTTCGTTGAAAAATCGCTTAAAACTTGGTCTGAACTTTGTTGTGGTGCCTACAGAGTAAAAAGAATCAGCTTTATGACAGTAATGTGGCCTGGGGAAGGAGGTAATTTTGGGCTGTGACGTCACATATTTGAAAGTTTGTGTTTGGAATATGGGAAGCCTAAGATGTTTAATGAAAAATAAATGCCAGAACCGTGTTCCTGGTCATCCAATCTATAAAGTCGGGCACAATTTAACTGGTTTTAACAACATTTTAGAAGGTGGGATAGTTCCTTTAAAGGTAGTGTGCCACCTTTGAAAGATTTCCCATTTTATTTTTCCTAGGATAAGAAGCTTCTGTTTTTACCTAATATCGCAAAGAAAATCACAAATGGGCCTGGAATAGTGCCTTTTTCGCCTAAAAGTTTATCGGTTTTTCGATATGTATAACAACTGTAGTGGGCTGACCTGCAAACAGGCGTCGGCAACAATCGCGAATGCGGCGCACATGTGACAATAAGCAAAGGTCATTATAGAGTTACGACGTACGGGAATGAGTTATCAGCTGTCTAATCGTAGACAACACAATGTCGAGCCTTAAACTGTAAGCCTGTATTGGTATTGTTTCTTTTATTTGGCTGTCGAACATTATTTGTGGTTTGAAATATGATTTTATGTAAAATAATTGATAT